AATATCATGTCATGAGCATACAATTAAAACCATATAAAAAATGCTTACTAGTTAGGAAGACCAATCAACTTTAGCTGAATAAGAGAGCCAAGCTATTTTCTGCACAGCCACAAAGGATCAGGGCATGACACGATTAGAACTCCAGAATTGGCTTGCCCCCCATATTTTTGTCTGAATAATTGACCAAGTTTTACTTGAATCCAATATTTAAAAATCGCTTATGCAAACTCATCCACTGTTGACAGCAGCCTACACCTAAAAGAGGTTAGAGTGAATTCTTGCTCAGAAAGATTAGACCACTGAGGACATCCAGAGTATACTCTATAGCAACAAGTATACTGTAAGAGAGTTGACCAATTCAGTTCAGAAAAGGATATTTTGCATACCGGAGGAGAAGTGGCTTGCCGATTGCATTAAGCCTAGGAGGAAGGCTAATGAGGTTAACCTCATAGTGTGGGAATGTTTTTAGGGCAGTCATCAGAGCTCTGGAGTGCCTATTTTAGAGAGCAAAGTAGGCTCTTAGGTTTATATTGCTCTCTTAGATAGGTACCTTCCTCCTATGATGGAAGAAATTGAGTAGGAAGTAGGTAACCTCTTATTCTAGCAGGACTACACCCATGTTCATACAGCCAATGACACTTGTGAGTAGTCTGCCAACAACAGAATCAACCTTGAAGATCACTCTCCATTCTCACCAGATCTCAACCCCATTGAGCTCTCCTAGTTTGCGCTCAAGTGACGCCTTTACCTCTAATAGCCAAATATCCTGAATACCCAAAGGGGCCTCCAGAGTAGCGTTCGTTATGGAGACTCATTTCCGACAAACAGGGCATCGTGACCAGGTTATTAACTTCAAGTTAAAAAAAATATCATCCAAATCAGACCAAAACTAAGTGAGTTATAGCTCTTTAAAGTCAAACAACTTCAAATGGCTCTAGCTCCCTCAGTTTTAGTCTGATTTGGCTGATTTTTTTCCCAGTTAATGAGATTAGATCAGGTTACTTTATCCCCACTTCCGAGAAATGGGACACTGTAATAAAGCCTATCCCAGAGAATCTGGAAACAGCTAGCAGAAGTGCTACTCCTTATCTAGGTAACCATATTTGATTTCTTTTATAAAAAGCTCTGGGGTTCTATGTTAGGAGTACAGAGATCCGATACATAGGAAGCTCCCGAAGTAGGGTAACCACACTCAGAATCAGAATCTCAGGTCTCTAACACCTAACTCTAACACTTCTATAGGGCCTACACATCCATAGCTCAATGGAAATATGATGTAACATCTTTCTGAAGGTCATATGTTTAACTGCTATTGTCATCAAAGTTATTTCTGATATTGAGTAATTTTCTATCAATACTACTTGCAACTGCAAGCCTCCTTGCATGATAATAAAGAACTTCCGACCAAAGCGATAAGATTCTATCCTATAGAAGTGCTTCTCCTCTATACATGGAAAGTTACTAGATAGATATCTGTTGGTTGGATCAGGAGATATTGAGCTTTGAAGTCAGCAATCTAAGAAGGCTGCATATATGACTTCGCAGAATCAGCTAAAAGCAATCAAGAGTTGCTAGCTGAGAGATTATCTATCAATCCAGTAGAATAGCTTCCTGCAAATTAGTAAAAAGTCATCTGGAAGATATCTGTCTGTTGAATTCGGAGTTATAGTATTAAATGTTAGATGATCTAGGAAGGTTGCGATTATGACTACCTCTGCAGATACAACCCACAGATGAAACTGATCATTTCATCAAAAATGGAGACATTTAAGGCCAACCCAGTTCAACTTGAAAACTGGACCATAAGTCTAAAGACTCTGAAGATCAGATAATTACTATTGAGAACATTATAGTTCCTAGATTAGCAAAATGGTAATTAACAAAGATGGTATAGTGGTTTTCAGGGTCTCTAGGTATTCACATCTTTGAAGAATACCTAACATTGCAAATTATAATCAGAGAAGTACATAGGTTATATAATAGATAGATGTAGTCTGCAAATACTCAGACGCAGAATATAAATATCCAAGTACCTCCTAAGCTTTTAAACCTTATCAAGCAACAGAGAAGAGACCTTAACAATATAATATTGTTCTTACAATTCTATTCTACTTTACCTACTTAGCTCTTAGTAGTCATAAATAAAACAAGTATATTCTGAGCTTTCCTAGACAATTTCCTTCTACAGAAACAAATCTTAGTTGGTATAGACAACTCTGAGTCTATACAGGTTCTCTCCACCTAATATTCTATGCCTTCTAGGGTTGCTACAGTTATCAACACTAAAGGGTAGTTTACCAGATACTAGGTAGACTTTTAATTTCTAATTTCTAGTTTTTAGTTTTTAGTTTTACTATTTAGCTTTTAATTTTTAATTTTTACAATTTTATCTGATGTTTTTTAGTTATTTAAGAGCACTTAGAGGGGGAAGGTAGACAGCATTACGCAATTCAGAATGGCACAGACTGTCTCATATTTTGCTGTCACCAAGACTTTTGTCTAGTGGCTGTAGAAACGAAAGCCAATATTATAAGATTTTGAAGAAAACAAGGGGAAGGCCTCCAGGTAGTAGTAGACCTCAAGAGGGAAAGCAATACCAATGTCCTAACAAGAAGGAATGATGAAAAGTTGTGGCCCAGTCTCCTCCCATAAGCAAGGAACCAAATATGAAAAGTAGAAATAAAAGTTATACTATTAAAGTCTTTCTAAATTGTAAATAAATTTCAATTATCAGAGGTGTAGCAGAGACAGAGGATGAGAATTGTATATTGATATTTTATATATTTTATTTTATAGGAATTTAGGCCAATATTAGGGTGCATGCTGTGGTTTCCACTAAAACCCGAATAATTAATAAAAAAAAACCAACAATACTTCCTTGCTCCATTTAACTACCGCCAATGCGCAGCAGAACAAAATAAGTCTGGAATTCTACATTATATTTTGTATGGAAACCCGGTGTCGGTTTCTTTTGTCGCTAAGGAGCTGTTGCACATTGCTAGCTGCCAGTAGGATATATGTATGATACTTAAAAGTCTCTCGAATTTGAGTCACGTGTCCGTGGCCCAGGTTACGGTGGTTCCCGAAAAAATCTGGCGCTGTGAAACCATCAAGCATACCATAAGTGAACCACTCATCCACCTCCCATTCCGGAGACTCCAAAAAAAAATGTCGATCAAAGTGCCATTATCATACCCCAACCTACAAGTACCGTACAGCACCAAGCTAGCGTTGATGGCTAAGAGCGCCGTTAGAAAAGTGGGTGGGGGTTTTGGCGGAGCGGGAACGCGGAAAAATTAGTGACAAGGGTTTCTGGGACGGAAAGCCCTTCCTTGCTCAAAATCATGGGAAGGGGTTAAGCGAATGATCCTAAGTGCAGGTGCAACCCGTGCCCAATGGGAATTGCAGCTTGGTGAAGGAGCTCTGGTCTTTTTTGTCGGGCCCAGGGGAAAATCCTTTCATGTGGCAAAGGGATTCTACTAGTACAGTACCAATTGATTGAAAAAAGAACCGTTGTGGTGTTAGGGGTGATAGAATGGAGAAATGAGAAAAGTCGGCGAGATACTGGCATACGAAATAAAGTTAGAGTTCATTTGGGAGAGAGGAAAATGGGAGAAGGAAGGAAGAAGGTAGGAAGGGCAAATGTGGTTAAGGGACTCTCTTGCAATACACACTGCGCTCTATGCAGTTGAAATGAATATTTTGTGTTCTACTTTCACCCCGTGAGAATTGCCTCAAGGTTCAGTGCGGATTGAAGAAAAATCAAACCCTCATAAGCCAACCACCAAATGCAAGTCTCAGCGTCTCACAGCCGTTTCCCTGTGTTCCGCAGACGCTGTGTTCGGGCATGGGTTGAGCACTGGGCCGCTGCCCGGGGTCATGGACTGTACTAGTGTATTCTGCTTCCGGCCCTCCAAAGGCAGCTCCACGGGCGAGGCTTCAACTGTCAGCACTGCACTTGACTCCACCTTCTGATAAATTTAAAGCCAAGAGGGGAAAAAGGCGATGCTGCCCCTTCGGTCTTTGGCTTTTGAAAAGCTATAATAGGTGAGGAGCCCCAGCCTATATCAGGCCCGTATGATAGCTCCACGGAAAAAAAAACCTCCCCTTCCAGCCTACAACCCATTCGTGCTCCTCGTTCCGATGCCAACTTTGGTTATCAGAAATGGAACAGTAAATAGGGTGGTTAAACGTACATAGCCTTCGCCTCTGTTTCCATCTTCGACCGCCTCCCCATTGTCGCCCCCGTCAATTAGGCTATCAACGACTCTCGTTCGTGAGATCCGAGTTTTCTTTCAACATTGGCCACCAGGGTGACGCAATTACCGAAATCCTTTTTCTCCAAACACCTCCCCCCACCACCAACATCAGGAATTGAATTCTGCTAAATTTCCTCCACCATCTGTGAAACATCCTAGAGTATTGAACGGCGCTGTTTGGTTCTTTAGGTTCGAGTGGAAATGTCTTCATCCTCTTACCCACGAAGAGGTTTTACTATGCCGGGGGTGCCACTTCCCTTAGAGGATACTTTGCAACGGGAACCCGACGAAGAAACGGGATTGCTACAACCTCATGGCCCCCGTAATGCTCAATCAGACTACATACTCACCTCTAGGTCCCCGCCATCCCCACCGACTCTTCTGGGGAAGCAAAATTCTCGCTCTTTCTTTCACAGTTCGTATCATAGCCACCACTTGCACGGTAAGTGACTGGCTCTTTCCAGATACACTCCCATTGCCTCCTTACTTAACAGAATAATGCAAGCAGACCCTGACAAAGTCACATGGCCACAATATACTTCCTCCTTGGGAGTTCGGGATCAAACGGCCGAGTTGGCAACATTAGCGCTGTCGGATGCCGGCTCGGTGCGCGGTAGCCCGCCGCCTCGACCCCTGTCGTCTTCATACCCCGATATCGGGCTCAGCCCTACAGTGGAAGGGAGTTTGAATAGAACCAGAGTGATAGTTGAGGTGGCAGAACCCCCATCTGAGAGCGAAACCCCAACCAGTATCCCCGGGAAGTCCTACTTAACACACCTCCTACGAAACTCACCACCAGAGACAGATTCAGAATCGGAGACGGACGCGGAGGCACAGCAGGGTCTCCACGCCACGGATTATAACCCACATAGCCCGGTTGTAGATGATCTGCCGGCACCAAATAATACGGGTGGGCCACCGTCAACTCCGAAGGTACACCCTTCGGGGGATGGCACGAGATTATATGACGCCATTCAGCAGCCTAACGGTGAGGCTGTCTCTCACCGTGGTTATGGTGCGGTGCCTGGAGTGAAGGCTATCAGAGTCATAACATGGCCGACTGAGAAAGGACTGAATGCCATGAAGAGTATGTTGCACAGACGGAAGATGTGGAGAAAACAGGAGATCTGGGAAAACGTGGTGGCCAAACCAGTAGGATGTCTTCCTGCTGTTCTATTGGGACTGCTGTTGAACGTGCTGGATGGGCTATCTTATGGTGAGTAGTATTATGCGCAACCCTCACCAAGATATCGGAAGTTGGGAGCTAACAGGAATACAGGAATGATTCTGTTTCCCCTTGGACAGAGTATTTTCAGTGACCTTGGCCCTGATGGCTTATCAATATTTTACGTGAGCTGTATTGTATCGCAGTTGGTTTACTCATGTGGTGGTAGTATCTTCAAGGGTGGGATTGGTTCCGAAATGGTTAGTCACCAGACCCCGCCGATGGATACCAACTAGTTGTCTCACACGGCATCTAAACAACGTCTCATCCAATACTATTGCTAACAATTAATAGATTGAAGTTGTTCCATTCTTCCACAAGATGGCCTTTACGATTCTCAATCAGGTTGGGGAAGATAGACCCAAGGCAGTTATAGCAACAACTATATTATCTTATTCTCTCAGCTCAATTCTCACTGGCGCCGTATTCTTTGCACTTGGATATCTTAAACTTGGCTCCCTCACCGGATTCTTTCCTCGCCACATTCTAGTTGGGTGTATAGGTGGTGTAGGATGGTTTCTCGTTGCGACCGGCCTCGAAGTATCAGCCAGATTGGATGGTAACCTCAACTACAATTTGGAGGTTCTTCAACTTCTAGTTAAACCTGCGACCCTGGTGCTCTGGACAGTTCCTTTATTTCTCGCAATAATACTAATCATTATTCAACGTTTCATCAAGCATCCTTTAATTGTCCCGCTGTATTTTCTAAGTATACCTGCAGTGTTCTATCTTGTAGTGTTAGCCGTCCCCAACCTTAATATTGCCTCCCTGCGAGATCAAGGCTGGGTTTTTGAGCTTCCACAAGCCGGCGTACCTTTTTATCATTTTTATACATTATATGGCCAGTCTCTATTATCTCATTAGCCTGACTAGTTATTTACTAACATTATTGTAGACTTCAGTGAGGTCAATTGGAAGGCACTCGCCAGCACTGTGCCGGCAATGTTTGCTTTGACATTCTTTGGAATCCTTCATGTGCCGATAAACGTTCCAGCATTAGGAGTTTCCACTGGGGAGGATAACGTTGACGTTAACCGCGAGCTTGTTGCACATGGAATTTCAAATGCAATGTCGGGTTTCGCTGGCAGTATTCAAAATTACCTTGTCTATACCAACAGTATTTTGTTTATTCGGAGCGGAGGTGACAGTCGACTGGCTGGAATCATGCTTGCTATTGGCACTTTTGGTATTATGGCTATTGGTCCCACCATAATCGGATATATTCCAGTTTTGGTTGTTGGCGCACTGATATTCTTACTCGGAATTGAGCTTCTGCGTGAAGCACTCTATGACACATGGGGCAAGCTTTCTAGGCTCGAATATCTAACGGTACGTAGCCTAATCCCCTAATCGCCCACGCTCTTCTCATCACGAAATATATTATTGGTCACTAACTCTTCCCCGACCCCAACACCAGATTTGTACAATCGTTGTTACCATGGGAGCATGGGACTTTGTGATTGGTATCCTAATTGGCATAGTTCTAGCCTGTATGTCTTACGTTGTCCAGACATCCCAGAAACCGGCAATTCGTGCTATATATTCCGGCGCTATTGCCCGCTCAACCGTTCGGCGGCACCCTAATCAGCAACGCTTCCTACGGAAAGTAGGGCCCCAAATACAGGTATTCAAGCTTGCTGGATACATGTTTTTTGGCACAATCGCTTCGGTGGAGGGTAAGATAAGGAGTCTTTTAGAAGAAAAGAATTTCCAGGAACAACCTATTAGATTCCTAATCGTCGATCTTTTACATGTCAATGGAATGGACTTCTCGGCGGCGGAAGCATTCACTAGAATGCGGAGGTTGCTCTCAGCCAAGAATGTGGAGATGATATTATCTAGCGTTCAATCCGAGAGTGAAGTTGGTAGGGAACTACGAGCTGTTGGAGTATGGGGAGATAACGATAAGATCCAAGTCTTCCAAGACCTAAACGCAGCACTCGAGGCCTGTGAAAACGAATTCCTAACAGCTTTCTACTTTCACAGCGATGAGCTTGCTACGAGGAAACATAATCCCCCGACGCATCTTGGTACGACCCAATCTCAAGTTACACAGTCAGCAAGGATATCTAACTATAAACAGATGTCCCAAATCGGAACCCGAGCGATGTTCATGGCATTGAAGCGGCTTATAGCTCCCCACGGCGAAACCTCCTCAAGCTGGCAGCTGCATCAACACTCAGAGAATCGGAATCGGAATCCCAACACTCAAAATGGAAGAATTTCAAACAGCCGCTCCCACTAATTTTGCAAACATTCCAGGAGATGACGGACAAGCACGAAGATTTTTGGTTCCGTGCGATTCCCTTTTTCGTCCGGAGGGAATATGCTCAAGGGAGCATCGTATTCTCGCGAGGGGTAAGAATCCCGCGAGTACGGGTTGGGCGTATTGAAGCGCAGGTCTGACTCGTCTAGGACAAATCTAAGGAATTCTATCTCTTGGAAGAAGGCATGTTCCGAGCCGAATATGACCTGGAACAGGGCAAATACTTCGAAAGCATTGTCGCTGGTGAGCCTCCACTACATTTTTCATCTTATTATCATATTCATGAGGGTCTTGACATATATACATCAAAACAGGGACGACTTGCGGAGAACTTCCCTTCTTCTCTGCAACAAAACGGACTGCCACAGTTACCACGGAAAAGAAGACAGTGGCTTGGGTGTTAAATAAAAAATCCTGGGAATCCATGCAAAAAATCCAGCCAGATATCGCGAAAGAGCTCTTGGAAATATCTTTGAAACTAACGAGCGAGCGCATGAGCGCAATCACAAGGTAATATATTCCGAGCCCTTATCAACCACCCACGCTCGCTTATCGGAGGCCACCCTTCCGGGAGCCCTCTTTTGGTGCAACCATGCGACAACACACGTGCCCTTGTCTTAACACCACATGATTGCAAGATAAGCTGACGATAAATTTTTCTCCCAGCTATGTCCTTACGAGTGCTGGCTGATGTCTGCTGGTGTGAATAATTCATGAGAAGTGTGCAATTTGGATCACATCTCGATCTGAACTAGTTTCTCGGGACCTACAGCCGGGGCAAATGACGAATGGATGGGGGGGGGGGCCAAAATTAGAATAGAAAAGCAGATCACGAAGACGTTTTATTTCCACTCTCGTGCGCCCTCGTGGTTCAAACATTTTGTAGATATTCAGCCTGTCAATGACATGTCACTTTTTTTTCACCCAATCCTTTCTTTTCAATTTCTCGCTGCATTTGTGATAGCCAAGCCGAGAGATGCAATGGGGGATCGTAGGACGGAAAAGGTATAGGATGGATGGATGCAGTGCAACACTATCATACTGGTACGAGTACCGGTACTAGTATGTAAATCTATCTCTGTGTTGAAGGGCATGAAGCTTCATGGTTATCACTCGCGTCGAGGCCTGCTGTTCAGCTACAATAGGAATGCAGAGACGCGCTCTCCCCATAAAAGGAAAGGGGGGAGGTTAGATCCTTGGGACTAGGGTTGGGATGGGTCCGAGGGAGAGAAAGAAAAAAAGTGGGAAAAGGGAGAAGGCACATCTGGTCATCTCCTTCTTCCCCCGCCTCATCTATCCTAACGTGATTTCCACTGATATCGCGCTAACTGCAAGTGCTCTAGTATATCACACACGCGCGCGGGAGATGTTTTCGTGCAACAGGAATTATTTTGCAGGTTAACCCAAATTAACCGTTCATTACCGGTACTTGTATGGGCACTGGGGTATGGAGGTGGGTGATCGGACAGCCAGGGATTAGAGGTGTCAAAGCTTCTGTTGTTTGAGCGATATCCATGCCGAATCCATTCCTTTATTTCATATGAGGGCAGTTAAGTTCAAGCCTCCGATCACACCCAAATCTATACGGTACCCGAGTACCAGTACGAGTATACCGTACTATACTCATACTTGTACAGTAACGTACCCGAGTAGTTACTCGAGTACTCGTACAGTACAAGGTCTGGCAAGAAGTTTTGGAACAGTTATTTGCGGTTAACCAGCCAAATACATCCTTGTCTGTTTCGGTTAATAGGTTCCTACCCTTGTACCTGCACTTCTTTGTAAAACAGGTAAATTATCCTTGAACCCAAGCATGGCATTTGCAACCGTGATCCGACCGCAAACCGTAAGGGCAAAGTTGAGTCGAACCCATTTCCTCTGGCTGATCAAGGAAGCGCGACGGCAGTTGTGGCGGCGCAGTGGAGAGTGAAAGTAATACGGTACAGTACTCGTACACTGTACAGTACTGGGAGGTTGTGCAGATGGGGAAGTGAATACCGGTGTTAAAACGCAGCAAATTTTTAATTTTTTTCTTCGAGAAATACATCACAGCATCATCGAGATCAGGAATGGTTCAAGTGTGGCAGTGGTGTGGTGGGTGCTTTCTGCTCGTCATGCCACAGCGAGAGATCTCCCTCGGCCATGCTTGCCTTTGCTGAAGATCTCAGGTTGCCACAGGGTCATCAATCGTGCTGGGAGCCTGCGAAATCTTGCATGCGGATTGAGGGATGAACGTTAGATCTGCCCCTTCTCAAGCCGAATTCGGGGGTCGAGAATTTTTGGGAGGATTCGAGAGAGGTTTCGCGTGCTGCGGGGGGGAGTGATTCACTTTCTGCTCCTGACTCGCTTTCTCCGGTCTTGTCCTGTATCGCATCATATCATATGTTTGATCCTGCGCTAATGTAGTCCGACCGAGTGAGCGAGCGGGTCGAGTGGTGAATGATGGGAAACAGTTTCGATCGACGGAGGGATGCTGCTGTGTCGGTGCACATAGAACGATTTCTTAAACTAGACGACGACTTTGTCATGCTTCAGAAGGAGGCGGTATGTTGCTACCGGTTTAGAGAAATTGAATGGGATCGAATCAAATTAAATCAGAGCACAGATTTTCCAATTTCCCTTTTATGGAGGGGAATTGCGCTGAGGGAATTGCAGCGCTGAAACGGGCGCTAACGAGGGAAAGGGAGAGAGAAAAATGAGTTTGTGTCTTTCCTTGATTTTCTTGTCTTTATTTGATTATTAATTTTCGCACACAAGTGATAATAATTTCTGGTATGGCTCGAGTACTATACGGTATGCTACTGTACCGTACCTGGGCTTTGGTCACAGCACTGTACCGGTACGAGTAAACGTATCATCCCCTAAACTGTACGGTACAAGTACACAGATTTTGCAGCGCGGTTAATGGCCTAGGTTAACCTCAGACCCTTGCCAAAGGCAGTACTAGTACTTGTATGGTCGGGGAGCTCTCGCGGTGACCCGACCAGTAAGAGTACTCGTACAGTACCGTACGTAGAGGGCATCTACACTTTGCCACACATGAACTATTCCTAATCTTGGAATATTCTAGGGAACCAAAAGCGACGAGGAGGGCAAGTGAGAGAGAGAGAGAAACGAACCCTTTTCCAACCTCTCTCTCTTGTCTCGAGGAGGGTTGGAAAAAGTAAAGAAAAAGCTTACCACTGCCGAATGCGGGCAGGTGAGGGGGTTGTAGAGCGGGGAAGTGGTTGATTAAAAGTTAGGTCCGGTTAGAGTCTTTTTTTTTTCTTCATCTTTCCTTTTTTTTCTTCTCGCTCCGGAAAACGGTCGGAGATTCAGGTCTGGAATGACCTAATGCTCAAGTAGGAAATGCTAGGTAGGACCAGGGTGAAATTAGGAGGGAGAATGGAAGGGAAGGGCAGCTGTGCTCGTGCGCTACCGGTACTAGGCACGAGAGAATAGGGGGCAGGAAGCATAAAGGTACTCGAGTACGGTATTGTACGGTAAGAAGTCGGTTGGGGGTTCAGTGGGGAGTTTGAACGACACCGTGTGCTACAATCGCTTAGTGCTGGAATGACGATTGTGTTATGGACTTTGCTTGCATTGTCAGCGTGGGATACCAGGATACGGTGAGAGGAGGGGTGGTTGGGTAGCATATGGCGGCGCGGAGCGAGGGACGAGGAGAGGGGAGCACTTTCACGAGCGATTGGATGTGAAAATGATTCTCTCTCAAAGGGACTCAAAGGGTTTGCTTGCATTTTTCGGGTCGGCCTTTTACGATTTTCGTTTGGCTTTAATTTTTGACTTGCAGGGTAGAGGGAGAGGGCGGAATAGCCTTGTCCTAGTGACGAAATAGTCATGTGGTCGATGTTCGGAAGTGTGGAGAGGATCTTGGAAGCATCATGAAGAAGAAGGAAAGAAGGGGTGTGGGTGGATAATGGATGGATGTGAGGATGGGTGAACAGGAGGACCCTAGACTACTGTACTCGAGTAGGGTAGGCCATCGTAAGAATCGTCGTACTCGTGGCTATCGTACTTGGTGTCATGTCATGCTTGCCTGCCTAGCTACCAGGCCACTCACTGGATACAACCAGTGGACTGCCTACTTGTTTGATAGACTGCTCGAGTATTGTGCCCCGCTCAGGCGAAGGTAAATTAACAGCAACGGATAATTTTTTTCTCCTTCCTCCTCCACTTCCTCTTTTGCCCGCCCGTCCAGTACTTGTATGATTCCCACTCTCGAGCAGAAGAGCTCGGAGAGCCAGAGGGCTTAGAAGTACCCTGGGAAGGAGTAGTGATTGGACCACTGCATATGCAGCTTCGTAGGCGACGGCAAGACCCTAGTCTTGGCTTTAAATAAAATACCGGTATTATACATCTTGGCAGAAGTACCATGCAATCTTAACCACATCCCAAAACATGAGATTGCTGTGGTGTGGGAGGGGATGGAGGGAGAGCGACTCTGAGCGAGAGTGAGAGAGAGGGGAAGAGGGAAGGCAGAGAGAATTTCCGAGTACAAGTGCCGCTACAGTACTCGTACAAGTACTCTCTGCTTGAGGGCCTGTGATAGTCTTCGCTGTTCGTTCGTTTATTTATTTTTAATTTACTTGCCCGAGGAAATTTACAAGAAACATGGCGCAAGTACAACAGTTGAGAGAGAAATACCGGTGCATGTTATGGGCCCTCTATTCAGGCGTGCTGAATTAAGCAATGGTGAGGATTGATGGAGGGAGGGGAGGGGTGATACCGGGAATTGACGATGATATATAGGGAGTAGAATGGAAACATATTGGTGCGGCGGCCGCCTCGGAGGTGGAATGGTAGGGGCGGTATGATACTACAAGTGTGAACATGGACGTTGAACTGACAGTGCCACAATGCTCACTTCTACAGCAGAGCGGGTGCAGAGTGCTGCCTGGGAAATCGGGATGAGATGGTCGTTAAATTTATGTGATGGGTGATATAACAAAAAAGTGAAATAATATTAGGTAGCGTGATCGAGTTTGAATATCCTTTTCCTTTGAGCAAGGAAACGATGGCTGTATCGAGTGCCGTTTCGTGCCAATGAAATCAAAACGAAATCAATCCCGATACCGGAGGCAATAGAAAAAAAGGGAGAGTCCAATTGTATTTCAAGAGAATGGGAGGAAGGGAAAAATTAATCAATTGACTACGGGTAATTGATGGACCAGACAGAGCGGCACCAGAAGCCCTCCGTAATAGCATTTTGTATCATTTCGCGAAAGGTGCTAGCGGAATTTGGACACAGAAACCGTCTCTTACTCGAGATGGTCTCAGCAAGGGCAGCCCCCTTGGGTGCAATTTCTATGTTATGATACCGTACTTGTAGAGCAGGATGGCTGGCCGGTGGTTGGCTATGGTACCCCCCGCTCTCTCCCTGGCCGCGCGCCGCTTGCCCTGAAACACAATTCCCCCTCTGCTGCCTTTTGCTTGCCCACACCCCCCATCTCTCTTCCTTTTCTACCGCGCTTCCTTCTCTTCCCCCTTCTCCTCTCTCCTTCCCTCCTCTGCTCCTCGTCCACACTCTCTCGTCAACACCACATTCTCCCTTTCTTCAGACCACCCCCCCTTACTTACCTTTTCACTTCCTCGTGTGCTCTTACTCACCCCACCCACACAAGCTGCCCTTTGTTAGGATAACAATAGGCTCTTTTTCTTCTTAAATTTCTTGAGAAAACTCGTTCTCTTCTACACTAATAATGTCCGACGCTGTCAAGCCGGAGGATACCAAGCCCGTGGCAGTCGAACCATCCAAGTCAACTGAGACCGAAGGGACTGCTGCCGCCTCGGAGACTGTCACCGCACCTGCCACCACTTCTGATGAGGTTACTCCTGTAGCTGCTGACAAGCCCGTTGAGGAGACCGCTGCTGTTGAGGAAAAGAAGGAGGAAAAGAAGGAGGATGACAAGCCTCCCGAGCCGAAGGAAATTACACAGGGAACTCTATCCAGGTTTCCCTCCGGTCTCATGGCGTAAGCGGTTCAATTTTTTCTACTCTGTTATATTTGAACTACGTGCTGATTGTTTTGAAGCTTCTTTAAGACCAAGAGGTTCTTTTACTTCCAGGACGAGCCGATTCCAGAGGAGAGGCTGAAGGTTTATCTTCAGAAAGCCAACTCTACCCATACAACTGCTGCTTATGCCAGTCAGACAGGAAAGGGGTTGCTCCTTTACTCTAAGGCTGAAGGACAGAGTCCTCATGGTATCATCAAACTAGTAAATACCCATGTTACCTAAAAACCTATTACATATGTTTTAACAAATTTATAGGCAGATGTTACTGAGGTCACCTCTCTTGGTGCTGCCAAATTTGTTTTAAAGATTCCGCACGGTAATGATCTTCACTTCGAGTCACCAGGTGAGCGTGATAGCTGGGTTTTCACCCTTAAACACAAGATCACCGAGGCCAAGGCTATCGAGGAAGAGATTGTCAGCTCCGAGGGCTACAAGTCTACCCTTGCGAGACTGTGTAAGTATTAAAATTACGATATGTTTTGGATCTTGTACTAACCATCCAATAGCTAAGTCTACTCCAATTGCAGCTGCTAAGGCGCCGGAGAAGCCTGTTGAGACCAAGGAAGAGAAGGAGACTGGAGAGTCTAAGCCTGAGGAGGACGCTGAGAAGGTGAAGTCCACCGAGACGGTTCCCGCCGTCACTTCTGATGATGAGGCTGGCCCATCTGATAAGAAGGATGATGTCAAGCGCTCTGCATCAAAGGGCAAGAAGCGAGTATCTGTTTTTGGATTCCTCAAGAAGGAGAGGGTTGAAGAGAAGAAGGGAGAGTCTGCTGAGAAGGATGAGCCTAAGGAGGAATCAAATGTTGCGGAGCCAACAGCAGCTACCACTGATGGTTTGTTCATGATGTTCAATTTTGAAGACGGAAAAGCTAATAAAGTTGCAGCGCCTGTTGATGCCACAGTTGGTGCTGAGGTGAAGGAAACCGAAGCCGTTAAGCCTGTTGAGGGGACCAAGGAGGTTGAGAAGGCCCCTGAGGTGCCTAAGCCTGTTAAGCGACATTCTTACTTCACCGTCAACCCTTTCAACCGCGAGAAGAAGGAGAAGGAGGTTGCTGAGGACAAGAAGGAGGGAGGGGCTACTGAGCACAAGACGGAGACTGAGACTGCACCCACTGAGGCGAAGCCCATAGATGTCGCTCCTGAAGCTTCAACCGCTACCGGGGAATCCAGTGCCTCTCCACCAAAGCACAGATTCTACACTAACATCTTCGACAGGAGGGGCGACAAGACAGAGAAGGTAGTTTTTTTTTTCTGACTTTCTACCGAACACATCTGACTAAATTGTTAGGAGACTGAGACTAAGCCTGCTGATCCTGTTACTGAACCTGCCGCTGTGCCAGCAACCACCACTGGGTCTACCACTACACCCGGTGAGGAATCAACTGTTGCTGAGGCTACTAGCCCTACGACCGGCCCTAGGGAGCAGAAGCGCAAATCAAGCTTCTTCTCTCCTTTCAAGAAGGAGAAGAGGGCCGATGATGTCAAGTCGGATACTGAGGAGGGCGAACCTTCTTCTCCCAAACCTAGCACGTCTCCGGTTCCCAAGCCAGGTTTGTTGACTGGTCTCATGCGCAGAGCTAGCAAGGCTGGTAAGGGAAAGGAGACTGAACCCGGAGAGGTTACCGCGCCCGCTACTGTCGTTGAGGAGACTACTCCTGCTGCCCCTGTAACTACCACAGAAACAGAGACACCAAATGGTGCTCCAGCTACTGCCGAGACTAATGCCATTGGTGACGTTGTTCCGGAAGCTGTCACTGCCGGACAGGCTCACCCTGTGCAGGCGGCTGCTTAAACATTTCACAAAAAGCTTGCATGACATGTCGTATGAAAATCTGCTTCTGTTTCTCCCTTTTCTTTCTGGGTTTTACGCACTTCCAAGTCCTGCACCTTCACCTAATCAGCATCTCTTTTGTTCGTTCAACTTGGCTCAAGTATGGGCTTCATCCGCTACGCTGTTTTCTCGTCTCTGCGAATCTTGATTAGTGTCACGGCCGATGTTGGGTCTAATTTTTTCTTTCTTTTTTCTTCGTTGTCATGATTCACTAATTACAACCCACCTTTTTATATCCGTGTTTGGGAAGTTCGGATGTGTGGTGTCGTTGCTTGTTGGCTGTCCTCTAATGGTTTCTTTTATGTATCCAAATTCTGGCTCCTAGCTTCTCTTTTCTTTGCTTACCTGATTCAAATATCCTTTTTCTTCTCGGTTTGCAATCATGATGGCTTGCAGTAGCCAGAATCTTATATAGTATTTAATAATCCGAAAACATTGCTTTTCAACAGAATTTTTTTATTTCTTCCCCTCAGTGTTGCTGTATTTGATCTCGTGGATTCTCCGAGCTGTTTCCAATTACCCCGCACCGTTTCACCGCCGGTATTTCTCAAGTTGAACACTCTTTCCGGATAATAGCGTGCCTTTTTTTCGCGCTGGACTGATCCCTTGACATGCGGGAGGCGGCCTTTAATTGCTCCTCCCTGTGCTCATTCGGGGGGGGGTTTTCGTGGTGTCGCCCCTGGTAATTCAGTAACGGGCAATGGGCAACGAAATACTATACAGATATTGAACGCTTTCTCGCTTTCTCACACATGATGACGTTCAATTCAGTCACAATATGGTGCTGCGGGATATAGGGCCTCGTGTTGCGGCTATTTTTGTGGAATAATTCAATGATTATCAGAGATGGGATGCGATGGATAAGGATAGCTTCTTAGTGGTTACCATTCTGCTGCTCTATTGCGGCCTCGCAGGTGTGTTGTTGGCCGTTAGAACCAAGTATAATTCTTACCCATTGGGGATGAATCAATAAAGACTTGTCGGCAGGTGCTTGTGTTCTACCGTAATCAATAGCCTTTCCTCATAGCTTTTAACCTATCGTGTCAAATAGCCCGTAGCTGGATGCCAAGAGCCCTTCCTTTAGCTCTCTCTTTGCCTCAGCTGAGGCTTATTATCACGGTCGAGTACCGGTATGGTATCATACCGATATGGGTACCACTCTCGTTTCCTCCCCCTCCTGCTTTCTCCCTGACATCTTATCATCGCTAATGAGGGTCCGTTCCCACATATTCTCTCACTTACGGACCAACCCTTCCAACCACTCAAGTCTCTCTCATCTCACTTAACCTGATCTCGCCTCTCACTTCTGTGTCCCTGTTACTTAGCTCAGGAATTTTCCACACCTCCCCTGGGAGGTACTTCACTTTTGATTTTTGCTCAACCCATCTTCACCTTTGCTGTGAAGACCGCCTGCACTGCGTATAATACCTTACGGGAAACACTTCACAGTCTTCCTCCACTCAATTCATACTTTTTCTAGCAATCATTTTATTACGTCTAAGGACAGATCAGGGGCATAAGGATGCACAATGGGTTGCTGTTTTTCAAGATCACCTAGCGATCCGGGGGAAGCTATTAGGATATCTCACATTCATGGTAACCAAACCTCCATGGAGCAGGAGCAACAGCAACCTCGTGTCGAACATACGCTGCCTCTACGGGATAGATTCAACCTTCCTCTTCACCGCCATATTTGGGTGTCCAAGGTACCCTTGACCGCGGGGCAGCTGCGGCTCCGGAGGGAGGAGTACTTTGATACGCGTGTTACAGGACGAATGGAGATTTGGAACGCGATTAGGATGGCTGTGGACGTTCTGGATGAGGATCTGGAAACAGCGCAGCAGATACTTAATGCTGCCGGGATTTCTATCCCTACCGGTAATGATTCCTCTCTTTCCCTTACGGCAACCTTCATTTTCTTTTCACCCTCGCACTTCCCCCCGGGTGGAAGGGTCAGGAGGACGATGGGCTATATTTAGTAAACACCTGAAAATAGCATTTTTACTTATCACTGCTTCCAGGCGACCTGAGAAACGGGGTCTTTGACGAACTCGGGAACCGCTATGACCTCCCAGAGTACTGCGTATCCATACCCATGAACCTGCTGCAGACTCCTGATGGTGGGGATGATATAGAAGAGAAGGGGGCCGAAACCGACAATGAGGAAACGGATATCAGGAGGGAGGAAAAGGGAAAGATGCCGATCCATCTTCAAGAAAATATCTATTCCGTCACTGCCAGGCTTTCCGACCGAGGCGGCCCTGATATCATGGTGCGGTTTGCCAAGAGCGATCATGTCCGGGTGATTGCAAGGAGGATCTTGGAAAATGCGGGGGTAAGCTGGACTAGACAGGATTGGACGGATTAGAATTACGGTGTGCTGATTGGTGGTGTTTTTGCCCTTGCTAGATCCCGCCGGATCAATTCAAGATCCGGATTGCGTATCTAGGGAAGATGTGAGTTTTGATGTTCCGTTCACTTGCATCTTGGGGTTTTTTTTAATTAGTAGAATAAGAAGACTAACCTCTTTGCGGCATAAAGACTTAAAGATACTGAAACCCTTCATGAGAACCACTGGGTTGATGGCCATCTTGTCAATGCTCTCGTGTTTCCAAGGACTCGATTCTAGTTAAACTGTTTGGTTTTATCAACCCATTTACACCTCTCGCTTCCCAGATCCACCAATCCCTTTCACAATTGTCTCTCTCGTAGATCGGACAGGCCTTGGAGCACAGAGCGCTGCTTGCTTTCCTCACTTTCTCTCTCATTGCTAAATCGCCGCTTTCCTTACTTTTTTCCTTTTTTTTTGTTTCTTGGTGGCACAATTCCACGAAAACATTTAATTTTTACCGGCATCTTTTGCTAATGCTGCTTTTTCTCTCACGTTTCTTCATTATGAGGTGGTTGGGACGGCGTAATTGGTTTTCGCGAGTGGGGGCGAAGTGTTGGGGATGGGCGCGGCGGGGAGAGGGGAGCAGAGAGTTGTACATTGGGGTTTCTAATAGGGGGCGTTTGTGGAAGAGGTGGGTAACCCACTGGCTTTTGTTAGCTTTGGTGGCGATGCGAAGACGTGGTTCGGCGTGATGGGCCTCTAAGGAGGATTGCTCTAGGCGATTTGTTTATATCCCATACCGTATATTTTCAACTATTCAATATTTGTACTATACCATACTAGACATGCACCCTCTATCTAAAAATGAATGGATGAATGGATAGTATCAAACTACCCAAGGTGACCCGGACCTTCTCCATCGATGGTCATGTAGTCTACTGCACTCGAGTACTCTTCAGTATCGACATGAACCTATCCCCTCTCTATCCCTTACTACACTGTAAAGTGGCATCCTATGTCACCTCGGGTTTTTACATGTAGAACGCCCTACTGCATTATGCTGCACGCAGCTCTTGCCCGTTTGCTCAACAGTGGGGCATAAGTCCAATCACAATTAGGTTCTCTGGACCACAGGCATGATGGCCAAGCACATGGCTAGTCATTGGACTTGGGTGTGCGGTAAGACTACAGGTTGGGGGATAGTGTATTCAACTCCCTTGCGGACTCCACCCTGTACTCGCGCAGCCAGTGTTCCCAACCGTCCCGGGCAGGGTGGGTAAGGACAGCCGGGCAGGTGTCCGTCTTTGATGAAGATTGCAGTCCTGTAGGTGATGACCAGGCCCTGTAGTCTTTTTTTTTGGGAAATAGTAACTTCCAGTAGGGCCCGGGCATCTTTGGAATTGAGGGGTGTCACCTGCAGGGCCCGGCCGTCCTGAGTAAGGACGGGCATCACCTGTAGAGCGCCACTGCCACTAACAGAGCCTGGCCACTCCCATCAGAGCTGTTTTATCATACGTATTGCTGCCCTCATCATCTATTGGCAAAGTTGTAGCTCATGAAGCCCTGGTGGAAGGGGGGTCTCATTTCTGAAGAGCCATTAGTTGAAGTGGAGACCATGCTTTGAGATTTGGAGGAGAGGGTGCAAAGGTTAGGTCAAGAAAGTGTGATGGGTTCAGGGAGCTCAGAACCAGTATCAAGTACCACTGGGAGTGTTAGTTGATTTATAGCGAAATTTAATACATGATAGCAGAAATCAAAATGTTTTGCTTCTCCATAATACAGACAACATGCTTATGCAATTCAAAAATGAAACATAAACTAAGACACCCATGGGGCCCAGTCATCCATCCACAGCATAGATCTGGATGGACTGCAACTTGGCGTCCACTCCAGCTAAAGGCCTCACACATGGCGTCCATCCCGTCATAGGCGAAAGACGGATGGACTGGACGCTTGGGAACACTGCGCGGCGGCGCAGCCGAGTAGGGGTAATGCTCAGGTTAACCTAGGCAACCATCTACAGCACCAGTGCTGTGTTTATCAGTTTGTCGTGGTGGGAAGTGATGGGGTGATGGGGTGTGGCTAGGGGAGATGAATCATACTCGGGTATCGTACTCGTAGAAAAGGGCGGAAAACATTGAGCAAACCTTTTCAGTACCATGCTCTCGGCATGAAACCTTCTCGGATAGCATCAACTGAGAAATATACCATCCAAAAAAATAAAACCATGACTGGGATGCCAGAAGCTAGTATTAGATTATTTCAAGATCATCAGCTAGCTGAATAAAGGCAACCTCTATACCTTATAGGTGTTTCTCCCCTTCCCACCACATACCTCCTTCCTATCAACACAAACTCAAACCAGCTTCCAGCCAAGCCTCATTTTACCCTGCAAGAGCACCTCTGGAGTCACTTGGTGCAGCTCACTCAACAATTGCAAAAACCTACAAAGACTATATAACTTCACAGTAGATCGAGGCTCTCTTGACCAGGCACTCTCCTGACTGGGTGCTCTCCTGACTAGTTGCTCTCTATCTCTAGCACATATCCTTACAAGAATATTCTCCTTTATATACAGGAATTTATGTGGAATGCTATCTTTTGGATTTTGAATTCAAGTTACCTCTCTTTCTGGAATTCATGGTGATTTGTGCAACGTGTTTTTTTGTTCTACAAGATGAAATAAAAATCTATCCTTTCTCTTACTCACTGACAGGTTAAAGCTTGCGAAAAAAAGCAGAAAGATATCACTTAATTATTATAATATTACTTGATTTGAACTATTGATATTATCCTTACACATCTATAGCGAGGAGTGGTAGGCGTATTGTAAAACTCAATCTTCTCATCGTTGATAGAAGATACAGAGAATATAGGTTTCTCTTTTCCGACAACACTAGGAATAGCAGGTAAATCCTCCATAGTATTGAATTAATCAAAGTATTTGGATCTAATTGAGTTCCTATAAAAGCTTATATTTCTTTACTTCTCACAGGGTTTCATATGGGATTAATTGGCTACAAACTCATTCATGTCCTTGAAATGAATCACATATGGGATTGTTTAATTCTGCGAACTCCACTTCTCCTGACAATTCAAACAATTGATAGACTACTATTTCAGTCAAACCTAAGCTACTTGTATCTTTCTCCAAGTATCCCACTGAGCCAACCTTGCACATGCTTGTCTTGAACTACTACTTTGCCATAAGTACCAACAACTAGATTTAGCACTGCTACCTTGGTGATAAAATCCTGAGTCCAAATCCAGGCAGTCATGAGTGCCACTTACTCATTCAAAAGGCTTTTACAAAGAGTGGCAACTTCTTTGCTGGGTGTGGGATTATTCTGAAATCCCTCAACATCTCTACCTCTTGTATTGTTGAGTTGTTTTTCAGATCTGAGGAGGATCTCTGGAAAGCTGATAGGTTTGTCCATGAGTACTCCAAGGCCATGACAGGGAAGGGTGATGATATCTGCTGTATGGAGAATACCTGAAAGATGGTCTACCACAGAGTCCATCTTCCTGAAGAATACAGTAGCAAGTTTGTTGGTAAGTGAGATCTCAAGGAAAAGAGATTGCACGAGCTTGAGGATATGAATTCTGTCTTTCATTCAACTGGCGAGATGTGGATTTATAGGATCTGCTGTGTATACTATATGAGTTTCCTGAACTGGAAGGAGTAGTTGGCATAGACCAGGGAGACTTGGACGATAACCTTTAGTGGCTTTAGGGTTGCTGAGTTCTTTATTGATGGGTATAAAGAGTATAAAGAGTTTAACTTTTTCGTAAGCCCTTATGCCGGAGGGATCAAATGGTATGAGGAGCATTCCCATAGGTTCTTTCTGAATCCTAACCACTTGTATTCTCCTCAAGAAATAAAAAGCAATTGGTGTTAATATCACTTCGTCCGAGTAGTACTTTTACCACTTGCTCAGATCCATTTACTGTGGTGCTCACAGGCAGCATCCAAGTGTGGTACCCAATAGCGGTATCCAAGGATGGTACTCCAAGGTGGTATCCAAGGGTGGTATCTAAGGATGGCCAACCTATCATTTTGGCAATCTTCCTATTCCGAATAGTACTTGGTGGATATATAGGCATTCCTAATCCGTCTATCTAAGGCTCCATTCGGCATGTACCAATAAAAATATATGGCAATAAAAGTTGAAAATAGCATATATGCTAATAAAAAAATTCAATATAAAAAAAAATAAAAGCATTTGGCAACTATGCCACACAGCTGTGTGAAAGAAAAAAAAAAGTTGTTATACAACTCAACTTAGTGCACATACCAAAAATCAAACACATTGTACAAAAAGGCTTTACTTCTGTTTTACTCCTTTTCTAATACACTACAAGGCCATTACGACAACAGAAAATTTCCTCTATACTCATCTCTTTATTCTCTACAATTTGATCTTTCCTCCTCAGACTAGGTATATCATACACGTCTCTGAATCCTTCATTCTATATTATGTTAATACAATACTAATAGCTTTTATACATGCAGATCAATCCAGAATGGGGAAAAGTGTGTAGATTAAAGATAGTGAAAGATTTCTAGTTGAGGTACTCCTTTGGCATATCAACAATGGTAATAGAGGGGAGAATGAGTTTAAGAAATCAGTTTGTCAAAGCATTATTGGAGAACTGAATGATACCTACAAGGTGGTTAGTTCAAAGCCATTTACTATCCCTCAGGCTAAAAGCAAAGAAGTCATTGTAAGTTCATATTTTATCAACTCCTAATCTGGTTAAAGTCATTGGGAAAAATAAATCAAAGACTGACACATTAATATCATAGTTGAAGAAAGAGTTTGAGATTGTTCATTCTATGCATCAAAACTCTGGGTTTGAGTGGGATGATATCAAGGGTTTGCCAATAGCCTCCTTGGAGGTTTGGAGAACATATTTGGAAGTAAGTTCTTAGTCAAGTTTATTGATGTTTATTCTTTAGGGTTTGAAAACTAATGAAAGAATAATAGTTTGCTAGAGTCATAAGAAGGCTGCTAAGTATGGGTACAAATAGTTTCTCCTGTATGATTTCTTGGCCTGTTTTTTTGTTGAAGTATGGGCTTCAGGAAGGTTTGCTTTTATAGCTTCTATTCAGTCACAGGTAGAGGAAGCCGAAGCAGCTCAGAATACTCCTGTCAATTCTGCAGGCATTTTACAATCACAGTCCTTGGAAAATTTCCCAAACCAACTAGACTTGAATTCAGAAAGCAGCTTGATTGATATTGAGGATATGATTTGTCAAGCTTCTCAAGAGAGAGTTCCACAGAATGCCCTTTCCCGTCGGGGTCAAAGGTCTGTTGCTGATCCAATTGATATTCCTACTGAGTCTAGTCAATCTGCCAGTGCAACTCCAGAGCCTCCAAATCGCAAGCATACTAGATATACAAAGATTGCTCAAGCGTTATTGAGTACAGCTTTGAATAAGGCTACTGAGGAAGCTGTCCACCAGCATGAGCAAGGAATACCCTCCAAACACGAGCATGTAATCAAGATTCTTGAGGATTACTATGCAGATAAGTTAACACTGAAGAAAATGGTAAAAGCAGTTAGCCTTTTTAAGGATAGGTGTAATGATCCCCCTTTGGACAGTTAGTTCTTGGCGACGGGGAACGATACTTCTCTCTTCTACTTTCTTATTTCTTCGTCTTATGATAGCACTAGGCCTCTGCTTACATTACCGATAGTACAAGACCTCTGTCTTCTATCGGGAACGCCTATCATAAGCTTTCTCTAACTCTTCTTCGTGAAGAGCATTCCTTGTTGTAACAGTAATGTTGCAATAAAGATAAAGATCGTAAAGGTATTTTATATTTGTTAAAGTAATAGGTAGGAAAGGTACTTAGAACAAAGC